ACCCACAAGTACGGTAGATTCGACAAGACCAAGGGACCTTTGACCACCACCGTCTACGTGCAACCATCTGGCGTCCGTAATGATGCTGTCGTCTTCCCCAACAGATTGGCCAACGGTTCTAACGGTACCAACGGCACCAACGGCACCAGTGGCCACTCTTCTGACAACGCTGGTTACGCCAACTCCTTGAACCTTGGTGTTGCCGGTGCCATTGCTGCCGGCTTGGCCATTATCATCTAATTTCATTTCATATCCCTTCATGCCAAAAACCGACCCTGTTGTCGTCGCCACCTTCATCCGTTGTGTACTTTACTTTCTTCAAAATCGAGGTTTATCAGTGAATAGAAGAACAAGCATACCTTCCCGGTAGTGTGAGGAGGGCCCTTGTCTTCTAGCTGTAGGAGCTGAAGGACCCCTGCACTTGCTTGGGATACTTCTCTTCGTGGGAAGCTTTTTCTAATTAATATACATTATATATTTCTTGCGAGTAGCGGCTTTTTATATTCTTTCTTGCAGCCAAACACACCAGTTGTGGGTAGGCTCCAGCGGTTATTTTGCTGCTAAGAAGGAGGTACGAACGTTCGTGTGTTGTGGATGGCTGTAAGTCCAGAGAATTGAAGTATGGATGTTAGAACAACTGGGGGGTCAAGCAAAAATTAAATGTATTTGATTTCATTTAAGAACCATCTCGCTTGCTATTAATTGATATTATCTACGTTTAGCAGCTATATCTGGTGTAATTCGTGAATCTTAGTGACTTCATTTGACAACCGGAACTACTTCTAAAGCTATCACATTTAGCATCCTTCATAGGTGCTGTTTCTTTATAGTAACTTTACTAACTACTGAATCTAGTTTATTATCATTCTTTTAAGCTACCACGTTCAATATTTAGTTTATTGGGTGGCTTTTATATCAACTACAATAGCAACTATATCTAGTTCATTACTGTATTTTATAAACCACATTAACCAGCCTATCTACTTTATCAGGTGCTGTTGCCTTTATAGTAACTACTCTATTGTGAACTATCGGGTACTAAAGATAAATTCCCATTATTTGGCGGATTAGTGCAGGCTAAGCCATGGTGGTTCTTACGACGAAGTTGGCAGAAGAGCCTTCTGTGGTTAAAATTGCAACCAAATGATCAGTATGGTAAAACATCCTTTATGGCACATTTGGGCTCAACCAGTTGCGTTGTTGGCATTTTTGTTGAGTCAAGGAACGACAAAAAAACGTCGGATTCAGTCTAGATCCCTCTGGTAGGTATCTCTCCAAGGAACTATACAACCACTAATTCTGTAGTTAAATAGGTAAGAATACAATAAAGGTACTAATTAAGGAATATGAAATTGGAGATGAAGGATGCTTTACCAAAATGGTGCTCAATACTTATAAACTGTAGTTAAATTAGCTATGGATGTTCGATATGCTTCTGCCAGCTTTAGTTTAGGCTTCATTCTCAAGGCTAGGAAAGTTATCTACACATGTCATTTAATATTATACCCACCGTATTACATTCCACCAGTCTTGCACATGACAAGATACATATGATACGGAAGTTATCCTCTTTGGGCATGTCTCTATTTTTTTACGAATAGTAGAACGAATACCCTACTTTGAATTTGTGGTTTTGGATCTCAGCTTCTAGGCTATGAAATATAAAATTAGGACAGTTTTCCTACCTTTCTTGATCAAACAGGGTGAGTTTGTCTTAACCAATGAATTGTATTTCTAGCCCTACATCTGATGTTTGGTAGCACTCTGGCTATTGGCTGATAGCCACACTATGTTCATACCAAAGGATTTTTATCTTTACTGAATGTTAGGTGACCCACTTCTACAATTCTTGGTATTGTGACTATTACCATGACCTTATTTGCTTAGATTAAATTTACTACCTATATCAACTCCCTGGCAACCAACGATGGGTCGATCTTACCCTTCTTGACCATGCTGGTGATCAATTCATAGGCAATCTGGGCCCCGTTAGTGGAGGTGATTTCGGCATTGTCGTACGCAGGCGATACCTCCACCACGTCTCCCCCAACCACAGTCAAGCCTTCGATGCTTCTCAAGATATGGATGAGCTCTCTGGGCAACCATCCACCAGGTTCTTGGGTACCAGTACCACTGGTGAACGCTGGGTCCAACACGTCGACATCCACAGAGATGTAAGTGGGGGTGTCAGCAGGCACAGTGTCCAAGATCTGCTTGACCACGTATTCTGGACCCTTCAACCAGATGTCGTCTGCGTGGATACGGAGGAAGTGCTGGGTGTCATCGTCCTCGTAGTCTTCCAAGCCTGAGAGCTTGGTTCTCAACCCAGCGTGCACGTTGTGTCTGGTGGTCAAGCCCTCTTCGTGAGCCTTCCAGAGCATGGATCCGTGGTTGATTTCACTCTGGTCCGAGTGCCAGAACGATGGGTACTTGTCTGGGGCCCAGGTGTCCAAATGGGCATCGAAATGGATCACGTTCAAGCGTCCGTAGATCTTGTGGAGGGCTCTCATGTGAGGCAACAAGATGGAGTGGTCTCCTCCCAAAGCGACGTATCTGGGAGGAACGGAGGTGGAGTCCACAGACTTTCTTTCCGAGATCAATTCCTTGAACGCCTCAGTCATCTGGAGAAATGCCACGGAATTGTCCACAGGAGTCACAGGAATGTCTCCACAGTCGATCACCTTGGCCCATGACTGGTAGGGGTTGAAGTTGGCTCTCTGGTTGTAGCCTCTCAACGAGGTTTGTCTTTGGGAAGCGGCTCTGATGGCTCTGGGACCAAATCTGGCTCCTGGTCTGTACGAAACAGCGGTGTCGAAAGGAACACCAATGAGAGCAACGTCGTAGGGGGTTTCTGGGTCAAGCAAGCACTTGTGGTGGTCCAAGTGGGCAAAGGTGTTGATGCCTTGGAAGGGCCACAAGCCGTCCCATTTTTCCTCGAGAGAAGCAGATTGTTCGGATTGGAATGCTACTTGGTTGGCGTCCAAGTGCACAAAGGTGGCAGAGACGCCTGAAGCAAGAAGGGCTGCGGCTAACTGGGTCTTCATTGTTGATGCTGGGCCGTAATTACTGGCTGGGATGAGGACTATATACTCCAGATTTGCAATGGCGGAATCTGGCCGCATTAGGCAACCCGCCAGTCGCTTTCCGCTACCATTGGCGCTGATCGCCGTTAGCGCATTTGGGAGCGCCAGGCCTTGGTGTGGGGCATAGAAGTCACGATAAAGCCAGAAAGTAACCACTGTGGTTACGGGGGGTGGGTTTCTGAGCTGGTGGGGGTTGGAAGGTAAGTGTTTGCAGTAGAGAATGTACTCGAGTATCGAACGCAAGACGATCGAATCTCAATTTTCTAAATTTTTTGCCAAAATTAATTTGTTTTGCAGAAGTGATATTCTTAGAGAAGCTCTATGGCGGTGACCACAACTTACTAACTTTCACGCTCATGAGCTACTAAGCGTGTGTTTGAGGTTGTTAATGTACTTACCAATTCGTATCAGTAGATTAGTGGTGTACCACGTGATACAACACACGTGACCATTACGTCACCCAAACATAAGCACCAGCTAGTTGAGAGTCCACACCAAGATGGGTTTTAGTGATTTGAAAAGGGCCATCAAGAAGATCGACGAATCATTCAAACAAAGAGACAAACCGCAAGATGCCCCCCCTCCAATTCCCCCCAGAAATTATGTCCAGAAGCAAGTAGATGTTCAACCCCAACCTGAAGCCCATCAACAAACCCGAATTGATGGTGACATTTTTGATCATCCAATTGAAGATTCTGAACCACCAGCTATCTTTTCACGCGTGCAACACAATCAATTACCCAAAGGTGCTGGCTATGGTCCATCGGACCAACCAATTCAGACAAACAACTTCTACAATAATTTAACATTGGAGGATCAAACATTTCCAGTCTGGACCCAGCCTTATTCCCTTTGGCTTACCAAGGAACCGGGGCAAGATTTTGGGTTTGCATTCAACCATACGGATAGGTCGCAACAAGTATTCGGGCCAGAACCACAATCAAATCCTGCGCAATTCTACTTCAACCCACCCAGGATCCAGTCGTTTGTGATATCTGCCGAAGGATTCAGTCCCGAGAATACTAGGTTGGTTTTAGAAGACCATGCCAAACTTTCAGTGACTTCGAGATTAGTTCAAGATGCCGATAGAAATATCACCCTCCCTCTTGTTCACGGAATGGGTTATGTCACAGCCCTTTATCAAAACTTACGGCCAATTATTTCATCTCAAGTTGGAGTGCAAGAGTTTTCTAAAGTGGGTAATATTGGTCCAGTGGCCAAATATCAAGTTAAATTGTTCAATCAGGTCGTATGGAGTTTGTACATTACCGGTGATATCAACCTCGAACTAAAGGATCCTAATCATATTTTGGGTGATAGGGTTGGCACATTTACCTTGCAGTGGGCCAAGGGCAGCTCCAAATTTTACGACCAAAGTGCTGGATCTTATCCAACTGATGCTGAATTACATGGATCATCAGATGGGGACAAAGGAACTTATCAATTCAAGTATAACACAGCTGGAAATTCACAAGCTGGCTCAAGTATCATTTGGGCTCTTCCACATCACTATCAAGTTCTTGATGATTCCATCAAGTCTAAAGAGATCGACATAACCTTGGATTCAACTGTAAAGGGTGTCATGAAAGGGTACGTGACTTCTGAATTGTTAATGGAAGAAAAATTGCCACTTGACATTAACTGGGAGCCCTGGGCCTCATTTTCAACACATGCTTCCTACCCGGATCATGCATTGGAACTCATCAAGTCGGCAGCTATAGAAGATATCAAGCAGGATGTGGTAGGAATGGCAAATATCGACTCGATGTACACTTCAGGTAAGATATTAGACAAGTTTGCTTATATAGCATATGTCTGCAAGTTCATCTTGAATGACGATGAATTGACCAATCAAATACTCCCTAGACTTCAGGAAGCAATAGAGATATTTGCTAGAAATCAACAGAAATACCCCTTAGTATATGATGGTGCATGGAAAGGTCTAATCTCATCAGCTGAACCCGGTGCGGACTTTGGAAACGCCAACTACAACGATCACCAATTTCATTATGGATATCATATCCATGCTATTGCTTTGGTTTCTAAAATTGATGATGGTTGGTTGAGGAAGAATGATAACTTAGTTTTGAACTATGCCAATACTTTACTACGCGATGTGGCTAATCCCAAGGCTGATAAGTATTTTCCCCAGTCCCGAAGTTTCGATTGGTATCACGGTCACTCATTTGCTCATGGTATTTTTGCTTCCGGTGATGGTAAAGATGAAGAATCTTCATCGGAAGATTATCATTTCGCTTACGGAATGAAGTTATACGCACAGATTTTGAGGGACCCAAGTATGGAAGCCAGGGCCAACTTGATGCTAGCAGTTATGAAGAGATCCATGGGGTTGTACATGCTTTATACAGATGATAATGAAATCCAGCCTGCCAATTTCATAAAAAACAAAGTTGCTGGTATTACTTTTGAAAACAAAATTGATTTTTCCACATATTTTGGAAGGGGGACTATAGCTGATGAATGGATTCATGGAATTCATATGTTACCAATAACCCCAATTTCTTCTTACATTAGAACAGAACAGTTTGTTAAGGAGGAATGGCAACAAAAATTAGCAGGTATTATCGATCAAATTCCTGATGGCTGGAAAGGAATCTTGATGCTCAATTTAGCATTGTACGACCCAAAGAAAGCGTGGGATTGGTTCTCCCGGAACGATTGGGATGATCGCTTGATAGATAATGGTATGTCCAGAACTTGGTCATTGGCTTTCATCAGTGGAATCGGAGGTGCAAACTAATTTTATCTCAGCTATAGTATTCATGATAACCTATTCTAAGAAATTCCAGTACTCTGGAAAATTAAAACTTATTTAGACTTTCTAATCCTATGTTGCAACATTGCCAATATATCCTCGAATGAGGTGAAAGTTAGTAAGAGGAAATAATCTGGAGCATAATTTCTTTAAAGAGTAGCTTGCAGTTACAGTACATCATCACTAACTCTTTTGCAAGTGAAAAGAAAAATATCAATTCATTTCAGCATAATCGATGGATTTTGATTGTTATCTTTCGAGACGTTTTTCAATCTTATGTTTAACTAGCTGAGTGGTTTACTAAATAGCGAGAAATGTATATTCTAGAACTGGAGGTCAGAATAAACCAAGCCTTGTTTTTCGTCCACTCTCTAGAATTTGTAGCGAACACTCATCTCAGGAAGACAGATAGAATTGTGAAAAATCGTGTTCCTGAATCATAAACCCAAGTATTTTGCTAATGGAGGGCTCAACCTGATTGGCTAATATTTCCTGAAAAAGCAATAACTATGATACCAGGGATCTCTAAGCAAATCAATCATAGAATTACAAACCTCACCAAGAAGCTAGTCGGCAAACGTTTTAAATTATAGGACAGAAGACATTACTAATAAGGCTATTTTCAAAGAGCCTTTCAACGTGTTATAGTTATAAGAATAACTATAGTCCATTCTATTTAAGATATCGCCGTCTTTAAAGGGGGCAAGAATAACCTATCGAATGGTAGTATTTAAAGAAGGTTCGAGACATTCGGCTAGAGCTCCTTTATTATGATTGTTGATCAGCGTTCCCACAATAGGAATGCAACCGAAGATTAGCTTACGATCCTATTGCCTCCTAATTCATTACAAAAGAAAAGTTCCAATTTGGCGTGATGTAATTAACGATCAATAGTCTGATTACTGAGGCAGTACTTCAAAAAATACGAACCGTTGAAGGTCTTGGCGATCGATATAGATCAAATTTCTGCATTATCATTTCCGAAATTCCACTTGCAGCAATCGGCCATTGCCCGTTCTGTAGTATTTACTGAAGTAAAACTCTCCGGGATTGAAGGATAAGAGGTCCTTAAAGCTCTTCTGTAGAGCTCTTCTGTAGAACTGGCCAAGAATAGGTATTGGCCATAGTATTAATCAGTCGTGTTGAATAATTCGAAAATGAACAACCGAATCTGAATTGTCGGCACTGCCGGCATATGCTATTTTTCCGAGTGAAGGAGAAAAAAGAAATATGGACCCCTTGTCATACTTGCATTATGCAACACCCGGAAATCCAGACCCGCTTAGCGATAGGTTTATGTTGCCAAAGCCCAGTTGCCTAACACTGACTTGACTACTATGGATGCCCCTGAGCCTATCTCATGTGATGAATTCGCAGTGTTAGAGCTCATTACTTTTGTAATATTGATTGAAGTGTCCCCTCCACAAATGAAGGCAGTTTGTTGATACTACGGTGTCCATTAATTCTGATGTCATAAATTGTTTGACAGGCTTAGCCAAGAAAATTTTTTGACGGTTTTTTTCGGAACTTACATTAATCTAAGCCCGAATTTCCGCTTAGATTTACCTGTTCGAGGTGGACACTGATTTACCAAAGGTATGGGGTGGACGAAGGCTAGCCATCAAGTTACTTGTAAAGAATAAACTCAGGGATTGGGTGTATCCAAGAGTGGACTTTCTAAAGCGCTAGCTCATTTCGAAGGGCACGCAATAAAATTCGGTTACGAGCAATAGATAGCCTAACCCGACAGACACTTGTACTTCCCATTTAGGTTGCATGAGTAGGAGAATGATTGATGAAATTTGTGAGCGAGCTGAGCCACAGGGTCATAGCGACGCAAAATTGACTGATTTTGGTGCCCTCCAATAGATGGCATTAAATCTCTCAACATGACTTGCCGCAGTTAATTTGTTCTTGCTGTGTCCCAACTTAAATGCCGATAACTATGTAATATATAGTTTTGGACCTATTCATTGTATTACCGAAAAATTCAAAGAAAGTAAGATGTCCAAGCTTCAGACTATCAGAAGTATTGCTTCGTCTGTAGCGGATCACAACACCCAAGCATTAGAAAACATATCAGCAAAACCCAAATCTCATGCATCCGTACCATTGGTAGAAATTTTACAAGAGGCAAAAGCTCAAAGAGACCAGGAGACTATCTCAGAAAAGAACATTGTAAAGAATTCCCGAACCTCTGTTTTCTCTTACTTCAAGTCAAAGAATTCCGAGAAAGAAAGCTTGGACTCGAGAGACGCTAGTTCAGCAAGTAACGGCGAGAAGAATGAGACAAATTCAGTCAATGTTAGGGGGTTCCTTTCTTCTGAGGATGCGAAATCTCTCGAGAATGCCAACAGAGTCGCCAGAAGTGCCTCGTGGGGATCTGTTTTCTTCTTGATTACAACAGATATTCTTGGCCCAACTAGTGCACCGTTCGCTATTAAAGAGCTTGGATATGTACCTGGAACCTTACTTTTCCTATTGTTTGGAATTGCTGCTGTCTACACAGGTTTTCTTATTTGGAGAATGTATTTATCCTTGGACTCTGACAAGTACCCTTTGAAGAGTTATGGTGATCTAGTTGGAAGAGTTTGTGGTGAAAAGATCCGATACGCAGCTGATCTTCTTCAAAGTCTTCAATTGCTATGCAATGTTGCAGTTATTGTGCTTGGTAATGGGCAAGGTCTCTCTCAAGTCACTAAAGGCAAAGGTTGTTATACAATTTTAATTTTAGTCTGGGCACTTGCTGGAATGATTGTCGGTCAAATCCGTACTTTGCAGAAGTTCGGGTTTTTAGCTAATTTTGCTATCTGGTTGAACGTTTTTGTTATCATTGCAACTATGGTAAGTGTTGCTCATATGGCACCAAATTATGCCGCTAACCCAGGAGTACCAATTGGTCCAGTGATCACTAAAGCTGTTGTGAGCGGTTCAGGAACGGGCCAGTTTTCCAATCAATTGGTTGCATGTATGAACATTGTTTACTCGTATGGAGGCGCAATTGTTTTCATCGAGTTTATGGCCGAAATGAGGAGACCATATGACTTCTGGAAAGGTATGATCTTGGCACAATCATTTATTTTCATTGTTTATCTCATTTATGGATTATTCGTTTACTCTCAATTGGGTCAGTTTGTTGTTAATCCAGCAAATCAAGGAATTAGTGGATATGCTATGCAGACGGTTACCAACGTTTTTAATTTTGTTTCTGCAGTTATTGCGGCAGCACTTTATGGAAATATCGCTATTAAAGTTATTTTCAACACATGTATTGAGAAAACTTTCCATGTCAGGAGTCTTGAATCACATACCGGCAATTTATTTTCATTCAATATTGGGAAACAGGTTATTGCTCTATCTGTCCAAAGGGTTATTTGGACCGTCAGCGTTGTTGTATACTGGGCTCTTGCATTTGTGATAGCTTCAGCCATTCCCCAATTCTCGGCTTTGACGTCTCTTGTTGGTGCTGTGTGTATCTTGCAATTCACATACACATTTCCACCATTAATCAAATTGATATTTGACTTGAGAATTTGTGATCTTGAAATAAATCAAGGAACCAGTACTTCTTGGTTCAACATGAAGAGAATTTTCAATGCATACAAGCCGAAGTTCTTCTTGAATACCCTCCATATTCTCTTCTTTTTAGCTTCATTAGCCACAGCAGGTCTAGGTATTTACTCCAGTGCCGAAACTCTCAAAGAGTCCTACTCCAGTGGTGCTACGACCTCCTTCACTTGTAAATCCCCAATTGCTTGATCTATATCTTATACCGTGCTAGTTATGATTTACTTGGCCTAAGAATTTAATATTCAATTTTAAATATATGTAGATAAAATTTCCTAGTACTTTAAAAGACTGATTCATAGATCACACACTTCGAAATACTGAAAACTAATCTTGCTGCTATTGGACGAGTTCTAATATTGATTTTTTTAGAGTTGCACTACATAACAATAAATGGCTGCGAAAACACTATTAGTAGGGAGATAGATTATTTGTTGGTAACGAGTTTGTACCCTGCGGTTCACGAAATTGGTCTTGCTTTATACTCCAAACCTATTCTGGGAGGCATTATTCACTATTCAACAACAAGCTTTCCAAGGCAGGTTGCATGATTTACTGTTTACGAATTGTGCATTGTTTCAACATATCAATAAAAATTACAGGATTAATCCCTCATGAGTAGTTTTTCGATAACAACTTGACTCGGTTTTTTCGAGGTGGTCAGCGAGTGGCCACTTGCATTAAAGTTTCAAGTTAGCGAAAGATTTTGATTGTATCCAATAAACGAAAGTTTATTGTCTTGCCCTCCATTTAACGAGGGTGAGTTACAGTGAAGGGTCATTACAAGCATGAGTCACTAGAATATAGAGCCAATACAAGTATGAGTCAATACAGTATATCTTGAAACTTCTCAACGATTGGCCAGCTCCTCCTGATAAATCGGTTGGTCACGCGCAGGGTGACGTGTCAAGGAAAAATCTGTCTATAAAAGATCAAGTAGATCCAAACTTTAAACACTATCTCAAATCCATTGTGATGAAGTTGGCTGAAGCATTAAGACTCAAGACTGATTATGCAAAGAAGTTAAGTCAGTTGAAGAGTCGGATTAGAGCTGGCTGTACTGTTCAGGAGGGTGATGAACCACCCGAGAAGCCACAGGAACTCTTGGTTGAATACGAGGAGCTCTCTCAAAAGCTTTTTGAGTTGGGCATCGCAATCAATTTGGCCAATTCTCGAGAAAAGATTTCTTATCCTTCCCATTACGACAATATCAACAACTTGGAAATCATTGGTGCTTACAACTCCGATGAGATTCCAGCAAGCATAGTCCGCAGAACAAGACTTCTCCTGGAGGCCCTTTCTGAAAGAGACATTTTGAGTACAAAAATTCAGACCTACAGAGATATATTAGATGCTTGTAATATCAGTTCTTTCAGGATGTCCAAGCAAGAAATCAAGATTATGGCAACCATGGATGTGAAAGTTCTCAATAAGAAGATCGATTTGCTTTCGAAGTTCCTTCGTTTAATTGACGTCAAGATTCAGGAAAGTAATTGGCTAATTGAAATATAGATAGGTGGATCAAAAAAATGGATTCATACCTAGTGGTTGCGGTATGCACCAAATTCAATTCTATCACTTCTTAGTGTTGAAGCACGAACTGTGAGACTGGATCTTGCCGTTACGAAGCAGATTGTTAATTTTTGTTGGTATCTATCATTTGTTGAACTAAAGGTGAGTCTCAGACCCGGTCCGCAATGCGGGTTTGGGAGGAGTGGTTGCAGAATCACTTCTTACATTTCATTGCGATCCTTGTCGCCTAATAGTCGGGGTATTTGGCTTATGTTAATTATCACATCCCACTGATTCAATTACATGCGTTTCAATTATCAATTATTCTTATTATTACCAGTTGCTAATTTAGTTCACAGATGATGGAGAGGGCGGGTAGCGGGATAAAAATTAATACACAAAACTTAAACATAATTGTAGAGTACTGGTGTTTCCATAGTTTCTGTAGAGACTTAGATAATTGTTTCAGTGTGTCCGAACCAATACAACTCGTCAAAAGTGTTGCCTCCGAATTGATTAGGATAATGTTTGGGTATCCAGTACTTGATGACTACTCTCTGGCCAGTTCCATCATCGATGGTAGTAAGGATGTTTTCCAGAGTATGGTAGTAAGGATGTTTTC